AATTCATCTACACAAAGAAAGTAAAAATACACGACGCAAATGACAAGGAATTGATTGAAATAGTGTAATCAAATTACGTCTGTAACTGAAAAATAGTCTAGTTTTTGGATGTGACTTCTCTCAGACAGGATTAGGCTTCGTAAACTGTGATGTTTGTTTAATAGTTAACTTAAAGCTGTGTCACTGCAGTTGTTACTATCAGTGGTAAAAGTTACAAAATACTCAAGCCCTTTTATTTTTAGGTTTAAATCAGGAAGCCTTTTAATTTAGATCTAAAAACAGTTCAGCTGAGTTAGGCCGATCTAGGTTTTTAAAACATATAGTTAGGACTTATCTCATTTATCTGACGTAACATCAGAATAAGTCCACGAAGTTTATCGTAGCGAGAATTTCGAGATTGCGTCACCCCAGCTCGTTTCTAATTTGGAAGGAGAATCCCTTAGGAAACGGGTCCTTGGGTACTATCGAACCTGCCAAGAAGACTTATGGCTTGCTGTTTTTAAGTGTTCCTGTGCTGAACATACGTTAGATATTTACAGGTGACAGGTGAGAGAGGGTGCAGACACACTGGCGGGTTATGAGGACTATTCGGATATCGTCCGTAATCAGCAGCAGGAAGAACTCCCTGTCGCTCAGGAGCGCTGCGTCAGAGGTTTAATAAAAAACTTTTGTCTGTACAGCCATAACAAACATATAACATACACGATATATAGCCATAACATTTCATACACGATACAACTTGCTGCTACACTGAAATATTTTACACTAATAATGCTGTTATGCTCTGTACATTGATATTTGAAAATTTTCTACTGATATTTAAGCATTATATATCGATATTTAGACATTTCATACTGATTTTATAGCCTGAGTCATATAAATTTCTCATTTGCGCACTTACAAATATAAAATGCCCTTGTGCGTTTTATAGGTTTAGCCAATGAGAATACACTAATACAAAACATGTATTTTACAATGATGCATATACGTCGTTGCACACATGTAATAACGAATTTTTAAAATGACAATTAAACATTTTAAACTGAACTTACCATGATATATATCAATATTCTGCGCTAGCGCGTATATTTAAACATATATTATCCTGGTGCATTTTATCGGCACTTAGGTTTAGACACTGAGGATACATCTTATGAGGTATTTTTCCTGCCTTCTGAGCATCAATACGAATAAGCATCAACATCAATGTAAATATCAACTGCCCATGTATGACTAACGCATTGTGTTTTGTTCCGCATGTTAAACATAATATGCCTAGGTGCGTTCATGTTAAACATAGTGCGTTTTAATTCTCCCGTGCTCTCATGTATTTTTCGTTTTCTTACATAAGTAGTTTTATGGTTTAATGTAATGTGTGTGTTTAACGTCATGTTTATATATGTTTTATGTTGTTTAATGTCGTATTGTGTGTACTTTGTATCGTGTACTGTTATGTTTTGTATATGGTGTGTTTAACTGTGTTTATGACTATTTATCTGTCATGTATTTCAAATGTGTATGCTTAAGTGCATGTATGACTTAGCATTAAGATGCCAAATCGTATGTCTAACAAGTATTCATTGTACACTTAAGACGCCCCTGCTTGGCCACGTGAACAAACTCATTTTAATATCTCAATAAACTTCCGGGGCGGGCCTCTTGCGGCTCCAGGGAGTTGTTGCCTCTAGGTAAGGGAGGGCGTGGGACACATGCTTGTTTACCTCTGTTAAACATCAGGCGTCCACGTCTTCCATCACCTGTCACCTGCCTTCTCAGCATGCCTCCGTGATGTAGTGGTCATTACCCTCGGCGCGTATCGAGAGGTCCGCGGTTTGAATCCCGGCGAGGGCACTGCACATTCTTCATGTCTCCAGCATCAAAATACCTAATGTATCTACAGTACGAACTAATAAAAAAGGAGGTGGGGATGGTTCTCCACCACCAGGATTTGGCGATTGGGTTCTCTAATCCCCAGTCGCCCTTTAAAAGGGGGGAGTATATAAGGTATTTCTCCCAGCTTCTTAGCATGCCTTCGTGATGTAGTGGTCAGCACGCTCGGTGCGCATCAAGAGGTCCGTGGTTCGAATCCCGGCGAGGGCATTGCACATTTTTCATATCTCCAGCAATTACCTAATGTCTCTACAACTTATCCGTATTTGTTTGACACTGTTGCGTACATTGTTGTGCATACATAAGCATTTAAAATAATATTTTACATCGATATTTAAACATTCTCACTGATTTTAAGCAGGGACGCAAACTATTCTACATTGATACAAAAACAAAATTTTGTTATAAGTTTTGTTAATTTTGTTATGCTCTGGTGCGTTTTTGTGGACATGGATTTAGATACTAAGGATACACTGATACGTACAGATACGCTAAATATTTGCAAACATCCGACTCTTCTCCGGGATTCAAACCCGAGCTCAATGCAGCACTCAGCATTGATAACCATGCTTTGTATCGATCACGACGGTATTAAAATGGTGAAATATCCCAGCAAAAGTATATTTTTAAACACTAGTAAAGATATTTACGTAGACTATGTTCTCTCCCATACGATCCTAATATTAAATTTCATTGTAGAAATTATTCATTATAATTTTTAAAGAAATAGGTTTGTGAGAAAATACTAGTAAAGACTAGTAAAGAATAAAACAGTAAGTTAGGAGAAATAAAACAGTAAGTTAGGAGAAATAAAACAGTAAGTTAGGAGCTACGCGGCGCACAGAAAGTTGTGAAATGCATGCAGATGCAAAATATTCCTAAAATAGCTGAGAAATAGTTCTCACGTGAAATGAGAGTGGTAAAGCGTGGATAATTTTATCTGATCGTTTGTGTTTTGTTTGTCGGCTTTACAGAGGACAGTTTCCAATGAATGCACAATGTCTCAATTCCCTCTGACAGAATGATCATTAATAACAATTGAGATGCACTAAGCGTGATCAAATTTTCACGGCGTGGTGGGATAACTAAGTACTAGTTAAATACATATCTCTACTATTAATCTCTACTACTACTTCATTACCTAATAGTAGTAATAGTAATATTAAGTAATGAAAAACCTGTATGCATGTTCTTGCATTGTGAAAAAACGACGGCACCTACAGCTACAAAATTGTTGAATGCACATAGTCTTCCACCCGAACATGTGCACCTCTAAACACTAGTTTTGAATTTCGAATTTGTTTTTGATTTATTTCATATTTTATACTAATTTAATGAATTTTTGCTTAACAAACTCCGCGATTTAAAAGCCAGCAGCAGCAACAATGTTCGAAATAAAGCATTTTTATCTCCAAGGCCTGACTGTTGACATTCGTCAAAATGTAAGGTATTATTCAACAAACTTGGTTATTTAAAAGTAGTGTATTGGCCACTGTCCTAAATAAAATAATTTTATCTTCCAAGTGGCGACGTATTGCTATTCAGTAAAGCGTAAGATATTTAACTTTCAAATTAAATCATTTTATTAATTAGTAACGAATTAATTGATTTAGAAGCAATAAACATAGTTTTTAATATTTTTGCTACTTTTTAATGTGATTGGTTCAAATAAAAATGTCTTAATATCGTGATATGTCTAATTAGAAATATTAAATATTTTTATGAAATTACACTAGCTGGACTCCTTTAAATCAATAAATGAAAATTTTTCTTTTTTATGATAATTATTTTAGACAGCTAGTATGTTAAAATATGAACTAAAGCAATATGGACTCTTGGATAAAAACGAGTCTTCTCAGGTCAGTTTCGAAAATTTTAAAATCTCTGCAAGCTTATCTTTCAGATTCCAACTTGAAATGTATACTATATATTTGTATCTTTCCATTTTGTAACACGTGAACTCTCTAGAGAGTTCACGTGTAATAAGTTCCAATAATGCTGCATAGAACTTATGATGACATAGGATTAACTCGGAAGAGGAATAACAACAGCATACGGCATAGCATAAAACATAAAAAATGAAGAATGCCCTTACCAGGGTTCAAACCTGGACCCCTCGAATACGAGCCGTATGTGCTGCCGTTACACCACGAAGGCATGCTGGAAGGAGGGAGAAAATGCCTTATATATATCCCCCGTTTTTAAAGGGAGACTGAGGATTAGGAGACCCATTCGCCAAATCCTGTTGATGAAGAATCATCATTCACCATCTTTTAGTTTAAGGTAGCCAATGCAGAATCATTAGGTTATTTTGAAACAGAAGACATGAAAAATGAGCAACGGCTTCGCCGGGTCTCGAACCTGGACCTCTCGAGTACGCGCCGAGAGTGTTACTGTTATACCACGAAGGTATGTAGAAAGGAGAGAGAAAATACTTTATATGATGACTTCATAATATGAACATGGATCTTTGAGCTCCCATATGAATCGAGTGACGCCAAAGAGCTTATTGAACCAGAGCCACTTTTCTTAAAATCTATGACATTTTATCACTCTCCCTTACTGATAACATGAACATTCTATTAATGCATAATTCATATACTGTACACATTATATACTATATTCTTAAATAAACTGTGCTACAAGAAAGAAAATTTATTTACAAAATGTTTTTCAATCTTGCGTTTCGACAAGACGAATCTTCTGTCTTGCAATAGCTGTATCTATACTGTTTCCCATGATGAAAAATGCATCAAATATGTTACTCCATACTACTTACAATTATGGTAGATATCCAAAATATTACGTTATTATAGTAAATACATTTTTATGGCAATATTGCATTATTCAGGGAGATATTCAAAATTAAAAGTTTCGTAATAGTTTTATTCCAGTTCTTCTAAGAGTTAGAGATAAATAGTCCTGCACTTCGCGTTGATAATTTGCATTATTTTTCCCACATTTTCTAGAATTATAGAAGACGACTTCGTTTGCACGTTTTTAAAATTGTTGCTAATCTACACAGTATTTTTCAGTATTCTTTAAAAAATGTCTTGCATGCGAAATGTCTTGAAAATCAAAGATGAATTGCAATCATTCAGTTCTTCCAGGGCCTTCTGTAAAATGGACACAAGGAAAGCAGCTAAAAACTAGAGGAAGTCAACACAACTAAGGATAACATCAGAAGACTATTACATTTCTTCTGCAAGTAAATAAAAAATCTACACGATTTTTATCTCAGTGGACGTGTGTGAAGGAGATGTAAGCTCCACTATTTTGATCCGATTATAAAAGATTCGAGAGATGGAAGATAAGCGACAATAATCGAATGCAAATCCAGTTAGTCAAGCCTCGTAACCAATTACTTAACTAGAAGGGTAAGAAAATACCTCCATTATTTTTCCTTTTTTTCCAACTAGTTATGATTATTTCTGAATTTTAACTATTATTAATAATTAAACTAGAATATACTGTAATATACAGTTAAATAGAGTGTCTCAAAAGGTCGTTGCCAAACTTAACATGCTAGTCTGTCATATTATGACAAACAAGATTTAGATCGGAACTTGTGTCCGGAAATGGGAACGTCGATCGCTAGAGGGCAATGTTTGTAGGCTTATGGGAGAGTGGGAAGTGTGACTATTTTAGGTGAAGACGTTACAGGAGAAGGATAAATCGGTTTACTAACTCAGATCATTATGGACATCTTGTGTGACATTTTGTGAAAAGAGTGTTGCCAGATCTTATGGTTGACGTACCAGCAGCTAAACAGAGAAACATCTGGTTTCAGCATAATGGAGCGCTTGCACATTGGCAGCACTACTTGTGAATACCTCTATAGGACATATCCTGATTGTTGAATCGGCAAAGGTGGACCAGTCGCATGGCAACCACGATCCCCCGAACTGGCTTCCTTGAATTTTTACCTGGCGGGATACATGAAATCCATGATGTACAAGAAGACCGTAACATCGGACATGTATTTCGTCGCCAGGATCATGGATGCGGCAGCACATGTCCGTGACACAGCTGCCCATTCTGAAGGGGTCCGTGAATCCCTGCGTCGACGGTGTGAGGCATGCATTGTACTCAATGGACGGAATTTTCAACCTCTTCTGTGACTGAACTATGTTCTTTAATAAAGGTCTTCTTAACACATCTTTTGACATCCTTTCTTTCTTCCTTTCTACGCTTGCGAACATTTCCTTCTAGCGGTCGCAGTTCGCATTTTCGGACACAAATTCTTATGCAAATCTTGTTTGTCATGGTATGACAGATCAGCATGTTAAGTTTGGCAACAACCTTTTGAAATGCCTTGTATATTCAGAACATCCAACACAAAGCAGAGACTTCAACACTAGCCATTCCCATTTTTAACCATTTACTTTCACCACTCGTCTTAAAGTAGAAAGTCATTCAGTCCAATTAATAAAAAAAATTCTAGTTAAATAAACGAGTAATTATACGTCCTCTGTCAAACTGAATTTAGTATGACATCGTGTCCAAATATTGTATCGTTAGAAAACGTCCAGACTGATGCATCAATTCGTATTCATGCGTATGTAACAGATTTGGTAATTTAATCTTGATTTAATTACAGAAATGGTAAAGTAATTTCTTAAATGTTAGACAATGGTAAAAAATACTCGTTTGATTACAATTCTCGAGTTGTGTTATATTAAGTTGAGCTTATAAATAAAATGCTACAAAAATAATGATGCTGTTTATTGTAAATTACGAGTTAATAAATATTGAACAAAATGCTCTGAAAAAAAAATAAAGAAAAGACAAGTACCATAGTTTCCTAGTGAAGGAGAAACTTTATGGTATTAATACAATAAATTTACCCTTTATAGAAACAAGTTTCTGAGTTTTTTCACTAGTTGTGTTTTCCTTCCAAAAAAGTATCCAGTGAAACGTAATATTTGAGATTAAGAGGGCAGCAAGGAATATTGCAATCCACCACCTTGGGAAACGACTTTCTTATACTAAATAGTCAATGAAAAGGGAAGTGACGCTCCACCCAAGTGAAACATGGATGCGGTTGGATTCGTCCATATCTCCGATTTCGGGAATAAAAAGGTTCTAACATATCTAGATAAGAGCTACCGTTAACACTGACATAAATCACTCATATTTATTTTTAGGACATCCTGTGTTTTCAGTCTGCCAGAGACAGATCTACGTTTCTTACATTTACTCTATAATTTAGTCAAGGTTATATTTTAGTAATTAATTATTTATTCGAATGCTAAAAATTTGCCATTATTGTTGAGAATTTTTTTGTTGTTTTTTATGTGCGTGTGTACTAGACACATTACCTGGTCCTATCATCTTTTATTCTTTATACTTAGGTCTTGTATAGAATCGCTTAATGTAGAAAAATTCAGAAGAAATAAGACCCATATCTTCACAACTTTCAGGGCCTGAGTAACTCCTAGGCTTATAAGGCCCACACTCAGGGCCACAAATTTTAGGGCATTCCCAAATCTTCCTGTTATTCTTCATATCGTGTTTTTCCTTCATAAAAACGAAAGTGAGCTTTGGTCGCGCACTAAACGACTGATATGCTTTATGCTCTAATAACATTTATAAGTATTTTAAAGCAATTAATGACTGAAATTCTCACAGCTACGTGTAGAGTACATCCTTTGTCAGAAATGTTCCAAGACAAAGGTCGTAAAAATGGAAAATTGCATTTACCGTGTAATGATTCTATTTGCTATCAAAGTAGTTCTCTTGGCTATACACAACGTTTCTGGAGGTCTTGGAAGCAAACGGAGAAATCTTCAACTGCGATGCTTGCAAGCTCATTTCCCACAGCCCGTTGGATTTCTGCAACAGTCTTAATGAATCTTTCCTTTCAGTCACCTTTCCACTCATAAGAACAAGAAAAATCACAATAACCTTTGATAGAAATGTGGTATCACGGTCTAGCTCTATCCAATAGTTTAGTAGTTGTAATTCTTCGTCTTTCCTCTTTCTGTTCATCTGTGAGAGACGATTCTTGCATAAAGTTTCCGGTACCCTAAAACTTCACGTAAAATCTGATGACACAATCATCACGATTCAAACTGAGTTCTTCTTATACAATACACACAGTTACGCGACGGTCTTCTTGCAATAACTGCCTTACACGCGCCACGTTCGCATCGGTATGTGCAATAGACGGGCGACCAGCTCTGGGATCGTCTTGCAATGAATCTCTGCTTTTCCGAAACTTTTTGTGCCACTCGAAAACACGACTTCTTGAAAGTGCTTTGCCAGCATATTCTTGTTTAATCATGTTCTACGTTTCACTAGGGGGTTTTCTGAGCTTGATGCAGAACTTAATGTTCGCTCTTTGCTCACAATCAGCATCCATTATGTCAACTCAACGATTGCGACAACAATCCGAACAGTGTGTTGCTAAGCACAGCTCTACCACCTACTAAGTTTGAGTATAAACATGGTCAAGGTCATGTCAAGTAAAAATACATATCAGGTAATACAAAAACAACATTTGTTCCTTTTTAGTACTGCGAACTGAGAAATAAAAAAAAATTGTTCTGGAACCTTTCTGACAAAGGATGTATATCAAGATTCTTTGTGAAGAGTTGGATTTAAATCATGACAGTGTAAAAACGGTTCCAAGTAAAAATAATGTAATAAATAGAATTATTTATACTGCGATTCTAGTAAGCAGAATTTCTTGGAGTTTTAAAGACCAAAAACACAATTTTCGACGCACCAAGTATTTTTTCTTACGACTGCAAAATCTTCCCATTTCTAATAGTATCTTTTTTACTTCCTGTCATATCACATATCGTTAAATACGTAAATTTCTATGCCTGTCAGTTCATGAAACTTTTGAAGTTTTTAAAATATTTATGAATGCAGTATTTAGAATTTTTTTGCCTACCATATTAAAAAAAACAACATTTTTAAAATTTATTTATGGGCTGTAGATTTCCTTAACCCGAAGAAAAGAGCAGCAAACATTCTGGATAGAAACGAAATTAAAAGCAAAATGAGAAAGGGAAAACTAAGACATCAAAATATGTAAAATTCTCAATTATTGTCGAAAGAAACTCAGTGATTTAGAAGTTTTTTAGTTTTTAGTTAATCCGAAAGACGCGATGTTTTTGCTAGAAATAGCAAATCATGTTTTCGTATATCTGTTAAACGCGTTTATGATTTTGCTAGTAGGTAGCGTGTAAAAAACTGATGCGTAGGAAAGCTTCTATTGGTAAGGGGGGAGGAAACATTTAAAGCTTTAATAAAAATGCGGTAGAACTTCAGTTAGTAGTAGTTTAACTTATCTGGACTTCAGAAATCTACACATTTTTTTTCAGCCAAGTAAAATTGAATACGTTAATTTATTTAAGAAGCACTTTCTCTACTGAAGTGTGCGAAGTAAAGTAAGTATTGCCATAGCAAACAATTTTGGGTATCATATTTCAACAAAAACAATTTTGATCTCCCAATCCATTTAAACAATTTTTTTTTTCCGTGACATCTGTACGTACGAATAGAACAAAAGATTCTTTTTTCCAAAACGGATTGAAAATGGATTTAAAATCAATTCAGAAAAAAAAAAAAAAAAAAAAAAAAAAAAATTCGTGACGTATGTACGTACGCATGAATGCATTTCACCTGACTCAAAATGAATAGCCGTAGAACGCTGAAAATTTTGTATATGGGATTGCTGTAACATGTAGTTGTGCTCCTCCCTTTTGGTAGCAATCGGTAGTATCAGACATATATATATATATATATATATATATATAATAATTTATTTCCTAAACATTTGGCTTTAACTTATAACTCGAGTAAAGACGAAAACACTTTCATATTTACGTATTTTTATCAATTATTGATCATTGAACGGGAGTTGGTTTGTTCCCCTTGAAAAGTCAACTAATTTCCGATCAATGACAATAATTACATGTTTTAATTTTACTTTTACAATTGTAATATTATTCTTCGTGATGATTTAACTCCAGTCCCCGTTAAAACATTATTAACATTTTGCTTTCAAATTACTTCAAAACATCTTTCAAAATATAACTTACCAGTATGGATGCACACTTTTAAAATAAGTCTACTTTAATTAAACTTAGGAGATAATATAATCAATTAATCAATACTGTTTAGGAAATAAATTATTATTAACTAACTTTGCAGCAATTGCGCAAGTAATAATAACTTGTATTCGCACTAAATGGATTTAAGTTCATACAACATTTTATATATATATATATATATATATATACTGAATTGATTGAATAAGAAATATATCTCTAATTGAAGTGCAGCAAAAAAATGTTCATAATTTAATAGGCCGCACAAGAAAGTCAAATGTGCTGTCCAAACCAGATTTTTTTCCCTACTGGTT